CACACACACACAACTGCTACCCAGTCACCTATCCCCATGATCTGACATATGGAGCCAACAGAAGCAGCAATGGGTCGTTTTTAGCACACATCATTTGTGGCACGCATAATTATAAAATATTAATTTCATTTAAAAAAAAAAAAAAAAAGCAAGAATCAGTATATTTTTGCAGCCTGATGCTCAGACATCCATCTTTGGTTTATTCTGTATTATTTTCATAAGACAATTATTGTATTCAATTATAGATGAATATTCGGCATAGATAAATATTTGAAATCCTTTATACCATTTTGCACAGTCTGCTGTTCAGTATTTACTTGACTTGCACTTACAAGATCAGGGTCTCACACTCCAACTCCATGTTGACAGCCATTTCATGGACACAACATGGAGGGATGAAGGAGCAGATGAACAAAATTCGTTTAGGAAATGCGTCACTAAAAACATCAGCTCTTTTAAACAGAGCAGTTAATGTTTAACTGCTCTGTTTAAAAGCAACTGAGTTAATGAACGCAACACCTTTTGAGACATGACCTGCCCGTCATGTCTAAAACATTGACATGACAGGGAGGGTTCAAGACCTCATACAAGAATGATTTCATGTGATGTACATTTAAGATATATCTTCATAAGGTGCAATTTTGTCTTATCAATATTGATGGACATTTTGCAAAATGTATTTGTTTGTGCTTTATAAAGGAAAAAACAGTTCATAAATATAAATTTAAAATAGTCTGTACTTGCATGTCAGTTTATTAATTCATGGCTTTCTCAGTCTATTCACATTAAATTAACACAAACTAGTTGGATCAAATCAGTTCATCAGGTGTTGTGTTGGTCTCACCTTAACTGAGTTGACTGAATTCACTTTGAGAGGCTATTTGAAGTTAGCACCAGTGAAATGCAAATAAAATCAAATCTCTGAACAACATGTATTCATCTTTTATTTGGTGAAAGTCGTGGTGAGAAAATGGTAGAAGAGCTTGAAAAAGATTTCACTAAATAGGTTAAATTACTTACCAGCCTGGAAAATATAAACTGTATTGTTATAAATTTCCAAAGTCCAATGAGAACAAAATTAATCATCTGCTCAGGCTGATTAAAGTAACTGTGTTTTCTTACCATAACTAGCCCTTTCAACTCAACTGTAAATTTAGATACAATAACCTTGCTTGACTATGACTTCAGCAAACCCAATTCCATGGACATCCGTTTACTTGATGACTCATCTGTTCACAGATTTTTCACTGGAACAAAACTCCAGATTGTTCAGTGAAAATCAGCAAATACACAGATAAAAAAAAAAAAAACTATTAGCTGGTAAAGGTGAAATACTTAGATGCAGAGCTACTTGACATGCTATAAGACTGGCATTTGCAAACCAGTTAATCCAGGAACAGCATTCCTTTTCCACGGCACTGATTGACTATACCCCAAGGCAAGGAAGACTGAGAATGTTAGCTTTTGCAATAGTGCTATGACAGCTTCCACTGTGCAGCTGAATACAAATGAAGGTATATTTAGAATTTCAACAATTAAAATAGGCAGTTCTAAAGGGGGTCTGACGTATTCATAGCTCTCAGCCATTTACAGGCACCTGTGGTCTCTAGCCCTGTCAGGTACTGGGTGTCCACTATATGGTAATTTCTTTCCAACATGAACAAAGTCATGCAGTAATCAAATAGCAATTGCAGTTTAAATTAAGTTAATATCATTCCCTCTTTGGTTCAGCTATTTTTGCCAAAATACTTTTCAATACCATTTTTATTCAATCAAGCTCCAGTTTAAAAAATATCTCCTATCAAATGTCAAAACATTGAGACATGACAGAGAGAGAAGCAGGAAAAAAAACCCACAATCATAAGAGGCAGTTATTTCCCCAAATAACTCTTTAAAAGGTGAGAAGCCAATATTATTTTCATTATGCAATAGTTACCCAAGAACCAATGACCAGCAATAAATGATTGAACAGCACTCTGGTTCAACACATTTGAATGTAAAATATAAAAAAATGGAACAGGGAGAAATTTCTATTTCCTTTCAAATTGTGAAACTAGCACAGGTTCAGATTTTTTCACAAAGGTTCCTTTCAGATTATTTTGTTCTGTGATTTACACACAGAACGTTTACACCCTACTATTAACTGAATAGTGTGTGAAGTCACTTCACCATATCTGGTCTGGAAAATGTAGGTGTAGCAACGTCCTACATTTTGTAGTCTGACACTAACCGGTAAGTGTGTGGTTCGGTTCGACCCAACAACCATTATAAGGTCTATTCCTCACTATTGTGGGCGAACCATGAGCATGCAACAGCTGTGCTCAACTCTCTGCTGATGTTGGCACCCACACTCAGCAATGGAGAATCTCGAGGTTGTGGTTCTGATGAACTCAAATAAACCCAGATTTAATTTTGTCTTTTAGAAATTCATTCTTGACACAAACATAATGATGAAGACTCAGATCAGCTGATTATTTCACTAAGCATATAATTACAATTATATTCTGGCACTTTATTTTTGTGCAACCTTCTGGATTTGGGTAGTGAAGTTAAAAGATGTAAGCCAATAGCTACACATAAAATTTAATTTTTTAATCCAGAGGGAAAGTAAAATTCACATCTCAAGGTAATATTATGTAGTTCTGGTGTTTCACACTGCCAGAGGAAAACTGCAGCTCTGATAGAAAATGACCACAGCTGCATCATTTCTCTTTTTTTTATTTTTGCCCATTCTTCAGAGAAACAAGCAGCTTGCTGTGCTGCTAAACCATGGTCATTCTGCTGCAAAATTTAACATGTGTTCCTGGCGCTGCTCATAATACTCCTAATTACACTCCTCCGTACTGAGCAGCTCCCTGATAGCAGACAGTCTGCGTTCCACAGCTAAACTATAATATTGTTTAGAGTTTGCCATGAGATAATCATGAGCCAATTCACGAATGCCGTCAGCTGTCAATCAAATCACCTCGGTGCAGCACTTGGCATGGTTCTGCTAGTACTACCTCTGAAGTAGATGCAAAAATCTGAGAAAAGCCAGGCAGAGCTGCGCTGGATCTGCTAATGGAAATGAATCTGATCAGGGCGGACTGGGACTATATCAGTTAGAGGCAGTCTAGAGGAAAAGTGCCTTCAGTTGCTCAGCAACTAAGGTCTGAGCAACTGTTCAACAGTGCACAACTTTGCTTACATTTAAAGCACAGCAATAATGACAGAGAGCTCACAGTTCAGATAAATGCTGCAGTTTGCAAGTCAACCAAAGCTACATGATCTGAAAACACACCAATTGATCTCAGTTGATCCACTGATCACATAAGTGTATGTGATGTAAAAAGTATGCAGTAAAGGTGTATGCTTTTTACAACATTTAATGAGGAGCTATATTGTTGAATAGCCATTTTCTGAAATGGGCTTTTAACCAGAAAGAAAAAAAAAAATCTGCTGATCTTCTGTGCAACATTGCTTCAGAGCAAGAGAAAATTACTTAATAGTAACTATTGCTTGAGAATTTAATTTCATTCATAAACTGAATATCTGCATTTAAACCAAACTTTGTCAGAACCGTAACTACATGCAAAATGTGTTTTTATAGATTATTGGTTCAGCACCTCAGCCTCATAATATGTAGGTGTAAGTTTTGTACCGTTTTCAAGGGAGCTGTAAGACAGAATATAAAAAATACAATAAGCTAATACAAAAAACAGTTCAGCTGAGATGAAAACACACTGCATCATCATCATAACTGAGGATTTGAGTCAGTGCAATTCAGAGCAGCCAACCAACAAGCTGAGGTTATTACCAGAATCCAGTTATTTTGGATAATACATATGAAGAAACATCATGCATTCTTACTCTACATGATCTTCCATTCCTCCAGTTGTACCTGTGTTTTGCTGGCATGATGGACACCACAGGACACCCACATCGATCCAAGCAGTGTTCTCAAAATACGGTGATTCTTCTTGTGTCTCAGTTTATCTGCTCGCCTCCTCACCCATCTAGGTGTAACAGTCTATATGTCTCTATGTGAGCATGTGTTTCAGAGAGAGAAAGTGGATAGGTGTGTGTGCAGTCTACTGGAAGGCGAGTAGGAACATGAGCACTACGTTAATGATAATAAGCAACATCATGATGACAAACACAACCACCTTTTGGGTATCTGGGGGTAGGTTACAGCGCAGAAGGGTGTTAAAGAATCCCATCTTCTGCCTGTTCCACCTCCCAGAGCCATTGCCACGAGCCATCAGTCCCCTGGTTTCCTCCTCTTCCTCCTCCTCAGCACCACCGCCTGTTCCTTGTCGCCTTTCTCTGAGCACTGAGCCTCCACACCACACCGCGTCAGCTTGTCCCACTCCTTGACTACCTTTGTCGTCTTCTAAAACAGATAGCCACCTCCGCTCGGCTCCGACAGTCACCTCCCCTGCTTCTCCTGCCACTTTGCCGATGCTCAGCGTTGCCCCGGCCTGCCAGTGGAGGCTATGTGCCTATCTTTATCTGTGTGTGAATCTGCAAAGCTATTTATATGTGTTCAGCACCATTCGTTCCTTTAATGATTCTCTCTTCTTTTAGGGCTCAGGAAACTCCCCTCTGTTTTCTTCGCTCTGCAGCCAGTTTAGGATTTCTTGTCCTTTGAGCTCCTCGTCTCAATCTCCCTTTGGTCAGGATGTGAGGATGAAAACTGGGGGATGGGATACTCCTTCTCCTCGATACATGATCATGCCTCCTGAATTCTGTTCTTTTTCTTAGTGTCAGTCCGACGCTTTTCTAGCACATTCTTCTTTCACTCTGTCCTGCTAGTGCTCTAGACTGGCTGAACATTTTTTCTCTCTGAAGCCTTTTCCCATCTCTCAATCTCGGTACCTTCTATCTCTGTTATGAGCTCACTCTAAAATGGAGCTCAATGCTGCGTGAATCTGTGCTACCTCAACCATCCATCTAACAACCAGAATCGGGAGTCTTTTTCTCCTCCTTTTTAACTGTGCCCACCCCTGCATCACTGGCAGCCAATCAGAATGTGCAGTGTGTCAACACATCCTGGATACCGGACTGGTTGAGACAAGGGCATAACAACCCATGGGAGGGATTCAAGCAGAGTGGGGGTAGGGTAAGGAGCTGACGGGGTGTAGAGGAGGCCTTCCAGGATAAAAAAACTGATCTAAAACAAAAGTGTGTGCTGTTTTGTAACTGCATAGTTGTTGGGAATATAATCATCAATTGTTTAACATAATGAAATGATTAAGCTGTTAACACACAAGTCCTTAGGTCTAAACCACATTTTTAAAATGGACTTGCCCATTTGACGTGTGAATCTAAGTGCAAGGAAAAAAACAGACTTCTTTTTGTAATAAGAATCTAACCATCTGTGAAGTGACGGTAGTGACATTATACAATTCAGAATATGTGTGCGAGTGCCTGCATGTGGATGTGTGTGTAGATGGATTTGAATGAGCAGTTAGTGGTATTAATCAGTCCCTCCAGGGAGTTGTGATGTTGCAACCACAGCTATTAACGGAAATTTTGAACGAACTTGCAAATTTCACCAGTAATCGAAAGTTGTCCGTAAATCTGACCAATTATGTTAATGTTTTCTATATTTTCTTCACTTTTGGCTGAACGTTCTTTGCAACATAGAATTTTGATCATCCTCTTAGGCCTCTTCTAATTTAACATGTTGTTTCACAACGTTTCTTGAAAGCCAAGCCCACAAGATGACGCATGAGTGACGCTAAACTTTAATACTTGCCTTTCATTCCGTTTTGCAAAAAACATTTTGATATGTGCTGTTATGGAGTATGAGTTTTCCTCTTTTCCCCTCTTCTACCCGCTTACACGCACAGGCTGCAGCTTACAAAACCATGTTTATGTGTGACTGCCGCCAGTCATATGTAAACAGACAGAAACCGATTAGGCTGCCGTTGGAGAGTACAGATTGCAGAGAAGAATAAAAAGCTAAGCTCGAGCTACAGTCCTTGTCTCACTTGGCGTCACCCCTAAGGTGAGCTAAGTGTGGTCCAGCACTGGATGGTGAATGCAACACTGCATCTGTTCCATTTCTATGACATGTATGACTTGTAACATTTGATCATTTATTGACATTAAGCCTGTTTTTATATAACCAAATCTCAATTTCTCAAGCTAATTTACACTGAGGGGGTCTGGTCGGGTCCTGAAACTGGGTTAACGAACGTTATAAATTAACTTCAGCAGTACTGTAAAATTTGTTACAGTTATGGTTGTCACTAACAGGTAATTCCTGGGGACATGTTCTGTGTAAAGCTGGGCTATATTATATCATTCAGCATAATATTGATAAGAAAAAAACTTGCCTGGGAATTTTCTTTTTTATCATATGCTAATTTTATGGTGCAAGTATGTCACCCCATCATTCTCAATACATGAGAATCTGTTCAAAGGCATTATTAGACCAAGGGAAGGCAGATTAATTCATTTTGCTAAACTGTTTTTTTTTTTTTTTGGCTAAGTACTGTCGTTGAGGGGCACAAACAGGCAGGCCCGGCGGCACAGAGTCAGATGTGCCCCCCCAGGACTGGAAGCCGTTTTTGTTTTTACCTTAAAGTGGCCAACTCTATAATTCCTATATCGATTTGATGCAGTAGGGGCTTCCGCAATTCCCATATCTGTGCCTTTTTTCAGCCGTTCCAACTGTTTAATCATTGTTAACAAGTCATGACCTGTTTTTCTGAGCTGCCTTTCAACGCAACATGAGCGTTAAGACGCTCACACTGGGTTTACGTCTATGGGGTAGCGAAGGAGACCTGCTGCTGCTGGGCAGAGCTACTCAGGTTTGTTAGAATCATGGCAGCAAACCAGCAAATGCAAAAAAACTTTGCACAGTTTTCTTCCCCCAAACTAACCGACTGAGTTGAGTAAAGCTGTCGGATGCAGGCAATGTTAGCTAAAAGATGACTAGCTAATATCAATACAGCATCTTAAGCTTGTTAACAAGTAGCCTGTAGGCTACTGGTGTTTTTTTGTCTATGTTCAAAAGTGGGTAGTACTTATTACATTCATACGAGTAACTTTTTTGGAAAAAACGTACTTGTGCGAGTAGTTTTACTGCACTGTACGTTTTTCTTTCACTTCAGTAATATCATTTCTACATAAATTAATTTTGCCCCCCCCCCCCCAAAATAAGCCGATGCCCTCCTCCCCCGTTAAACTTGTCTGGAGCCAGGGCAGCAAACAGACCTCCTTACAGACTTAAAATAAATAAGTCAATAAATAAATAAATTGAAAGAAAAAAAAATCCTTAAAGGGCACTAGGGGCATCAAAGATAAAAGGGGCATGGGTTCAACCCCCCTCCACCCACACATTCTACCCTCCTCTGCACATGCCCGACTTGGGGACTCCAGGTAGATTCCAGCACAGAGATGCGCATCGTATCGTATTGGCTAGGTCTTCATGCAGTGTTGGCCCAAGGTGACATGTGGCTTTAGGCAGAATCTAGATTTAGCCCTCCCTTTTACGAAGAACATCAGTGTTTAAATATGGATTTAGTGAAGTCTGTGAGAGGGGACTGAGGTTAACTGGCCAAACTTAAACTCAATCACTGATTATTGGCTATTATTTACTCTACTGTATCTGTGAACAAACTGAGTTCAAACACAGAGATTACAAATAGCACCATCAGGGTTTCCCCCAATGTATTTTAAGCATGGCGGGCCATCGAGCTTTATTTGTGCCTACAACAGGGCTATAAGCAATTTTTTACTTTTTTAAATCTCTTTAAAATTGTTCCATTTTTTAAGGCTTTATAGTTGGTGTTTAGGTATTAATCTCCCAATCTTTCAGTAGCTCAATAACTCAATTATCAAGTGATATTTCAAATTTCATGTCAATTTTAAACATTTAACTCAAAAACATGATGGGCTGTTGGATGAATGACTGCCCTTGCGCCCAACCACCAGGCTTAGCAAGTTTTCTGGGGGAAACCTTGACCATATGGTAGCCACGGTCAACAATCAAACTACCAAGATGATTCTTTGCATTTTTACAAAGTAAACTTCCTAATTAAGTCTTAAATGTACAATTAAGTTTATTTTATTTCTGCTGAATGCATTAAATCAAATAGCATTGTCAATAAATGATTGCTAAAGTTTTAGATCTATGATCTGTGTTACAATTAAATCATTTATGGCAGGGGTCACCAACTCCAGTCCTCCAGTCCTACCATCCTGTAACTTTTAGATGCGTCTCTGCTCAAACATACCTGGATCAAATAAACTGCTCGTTTCCAGCCTATTGCAGAGAGGAATGAATATCGGTGAGGGAATTCAGACATTTTGGAGAAGAGGTGAATCTAAAAGTTGCAGGATGGTAGCCCTTGAGGACTGGAGTTGGTGACCCCTGACTTATGGGGTCCCTGAATATATAGGGGCCGACCAGCAGCTAACGAGTTTTCTTCACCTTGATATTTCACAACCTTACAATTCTAGATCTCTCAGAGGTATCAACATCAAAAAAAGTATGTAAAGTTAACCCCTCTGAGCTTTTCTGATCTCCAATGCAGTTTGCAGCCAAGTTGCTATGGAGGTTAAACAGTCAGATTTAATTAGGGTTTACTTAGTAAAATAGCAACAAATTTGCTTACTTTATAACAAACTTCATAACCAGCGACCTTCTCACCTATGGTCTATTTAACAACTACCATCTCAGATCAACTTGTTTAAAAGTTAAAACTCAGTTTCACACAAATACAAAGATGCTAGCATAAATGTGTGGCTGTTGAACCGGACCATTTACGGACGCCATCACGATAAGTTTCTCACAAATGTCAGTTTAAAATTTCAAATACATACACATTTAAAAAGCCTCAGTGAAAATGTGCTTATATATTCTTATCTCCTTGGTGCAAAAACATAGATTAAAAATCATTTAATTCACTGAATGTTTATGTCTGTTTGTGTAAGGTAGAGATGGATCTACACATGAAAACAGGTCTATATTAACCATTCAGACTACCAACACAAAAAAGATACAATCAAAACTGTCAGATAACTTTATTACCCCTTGAAAATAATTCAGAAATCCAAATAGTTTGGATGTATTTTTTCTTTCTTTGCTTCCTATGGAAAGTTTCTGTTTATGTGTGTGGTGCATTTCTATCCAAAAGAAAAAGGTATAAAACTTTAGACATCTCAGGTATAAAACAAAATATTAACATACATGGAAAATCTTTATAGAAACCTTATATTGTACCAGAAGGTACGGTGGCCACCATAAGAGACTTACAGAATTCAGTTATGCCGTATGAACTGGTACATTATTGTGAGAGAATGCAAAACCTATTGCGAAGTAACACAAAAGTATTGCGAGGGATCGCAACGCAAGAGAAAAAAAATCCTCCATGTCCCTTAGGGGGTTCTGTACCAAAAAACTTGCAAACATACCTTGATCTTAGCTTTTTTTCCCTCTCTTCTTCCTCTTTATTTTCTCTTTCCCCAAAGAATACATCCTTTTTTGCAACATTGTTTTGCTGAAGACATTTGTATGTGGCTTGGGTAGATACTGCACTATGAAAGGCCAGGCTATGAAGGTGTGGGATGCGGATGGCATCTGGAACTGCGCTTGGCGGGTCCCCATTAAGCAATGGGAAATTGTCCCGCAAATGCATGGATCATGGTCATTTGGCTGTAGCATGTGATAAGATCTTTTTAGGGAATTGTAGGGAAGTAGGACACACTTTTGAACAGTGTACCAATAGTCGTAAATGTAATCTGTGTGGGAACAAAGACCATTTGTTCAAAGACTGCCCAAAATCATTTGGAAACAAATTAAAGAACAGAAAAGAAATGGAACAAAAGAAGGAGGCAGGCCAAGGTGAGCCAAAAAATGAACTAATGCTGGGCCAGAAAACTCAAACTTCCTGCCAAGTCCTCTGATTGGAGGAGCAGAGGCAAAAAGAAGAGTGGAAGGAAACGGTCCCCCACACCGAAACATCTAGCGAGGTAGGGGATCTACAAACTGATGGCAGAGCTAGTTTGGATTATGAGGAAATGCGGTCAGAGAGTTGTGATGATTCCCCCATCCTCGATGCTCAGCTGGCAAAGAGGCCGGCATCAGCGCTGTCCTCCAACTCAACTATCGTAATGGAGAAGAGGGGAACACTGGAGGAAATCTCAGATGGATCATCCGGGGAGGAATCCAGGATTTTCCCCTCCAGTTCACCCAATGCAGTCCCTTTTTTGAATATAGCTCAGCACTCAACCTCAAAGGACTCAATGAAGGATTTGGCTGTAGAAAAACGGCTGAATCCGAGAACCCGAAGAGGGAACAGAGCTCAGTCCCAACTTCCACCACCATGGGAGGTTGAGGAAGAGCTCAGTTCACAAGACAACATCTGAACTGGCTGTTTTTAAACTTTTAAAAATGCCACACATGGTTTTATTTTTAGTTGTAGTCTGGATAGATGTAATTTTTTTTATTTAACTATCACTTTTTTATTCCTGTTGTTCAGGGCCGGGAGCCAGTGATTCAGTTGTTTAGTCTCCCATATGGAGAAACACTAGTTTGGTGCAAATATGAGCCGTCCCGTCCTTCCAAACAGATTCCAGGACCTGTCATGGATGGTGGCTCATGGGAACGTCCAAGTCAGAGCCGTTATGGAGTCCCACATCATGTTATCATTTTCCATCTGCCCCTGACCCGATTGTGGCACGCCAGAGTCAGAGAGGCACATGCTGTGGGAGTACAGCGCTGCTGTGGACCTGTGGGCCAAGGTCAGCTCCTTTCAAGTCCCATACTTGCCAGCAAGGGAGGTCCTCGATGCACAGCCAGCGATGTATGGGGTGAGCCATGAAAGGAGGTGGCAAGGAACTTCACGGCGATGTGACTCAACCTAGCCACCATGAAAGACACCACACAGGAACCTCTGGAAACTTGCTGGCAAGGAAGTGTGTGCAGATCCCCACCAATCCCTGGCTGTGATCCGAACGGCAGCGGCAATAACATCAGCTGCAGGTGGCGCGCCAAGGACACAGCCACAAAGAAGCATTGCCTCTGCGCTCATTTGGACGAAGGACAGAAGTCCCAGCAGCGGCGGCCTGGCTCTCCAGGTGAGGCAGGTGTTGGAAGGTATAATATTGATTAATTTGACTTTATTAATATTAGATTCAGTTATTTTCATTATCCACATTACTTAGTTTGATTTAAAATGTGCAAAAGATTTAATTAAATCCTTTGTCTGGAAGAAGGGTGAGTTAGCGCCATAACCAAAAGAGTCCACTAGGGGCACTAATGCGCTCTTCTCCACACTCAATACAAGTGTAAGTGAAAGAGCAGTGATTTCATCTCTTGATCATTTTTCTCTTACAATTGTCCCTATTATAAGGATTACCAAAGGCGCCATAAGGAGCATCAGAGCGGGGATTCCCTCTCAGCACCAGCGCTGTTTGGAAGAGAGGGACAGCTCCCAGCTTCATAGGGAGTCACCCTGGTCCTGCTCAACTTTAAACACACAAACTTTTTTAAATATCCCATCTTTCTTTTTTAGTCTAATTTAATGGGATTTTTTTTATTTTATTTTATTCTGAAAGTTGGTGCTGTAATTAACTGTTTGAGTATCAATAAACATTTCCGAAGGAAAAAGTGCAGCAACCACACCACTCTCTGTCTGTAGAGAGACTGTGGAAGATGGAGAACAACGTCTCCACACTTTTTTCCTCGTTTTCTGCTTAATTCTTTCCTTCGGTGGTTCAGCTGAATGGAGTCATCTCTGCTCACGGCGGAACTTTGTTTTAATTCGCATGGCAGCCTTGTAGTCAATCACATGTGAGGATATGAGATCATACTATTATGTGAAAATAGAGAGGGAGACAGACACAAGCAGGGGCACCACCAGGAATCTTGGGCCCCATGACAAAAAATTTAATTGGGCCCCCCCTCCGCAACTACTGTTAAAGTTTCTTCAGTCTATCTCCATATTTGTTAAAGCTGTCACCATGTTATAACGGTTTACTATGAGACAGATAATCTGTGAAAAAATAAAAAATCTCCTTCACCTCCTCCCTGAATTATTATTGTTAGCTAAAGTTCTGACCAAAAACAACCAATCAGAACCAAGAGCGTCTTAGTGTTGTTAATCAACCTCATTCACTCACTGCTTAATGTGCTAATGGCAGAGAAGCAACTTATTATTACAGGAAAACTGTTTATCTGCCGTCATTGGTAGCTATGCTAACTAGACTGGGCATTCACAGTTTGAATCTGCACAGCTCTGTGCTATGCTAGCTGCAGCATAGCACTCAGCGAGGGGGAAGGAGGATGAGCAGCCACGAGATTGTGATTGACAGAGCAAAAACCCGCCTCCTGCCTCTGATTGGTTGTTTTTAGAGATTACTGGGAGAAGGCAGAGGAAATTATTTTTTCCACAAATTATCTCTCATGCCATACCGTCACAACACAATGACAGTTTTAACAAATATGTTAAAAAATTTTTTTATAAAAGTTACATACTGCAGCTTTAATCTCACTAAGGAGGGACATGGCAACATATATCTGTAATTTAAATGTAAGCCAAGGTAAAGCTGTGTGGACTGGCTTGAGTCCAGACAGGAGGATGTTTTTTATTATCATTTTATAAAGATTGTTTGAATTTATGTCAGCAACAAATATGTTTTGTTGTGTAATTGTAAAAAGAGCATAGACAGAGAAATCCCTTTGGATTCCCTGGAATGATGCCAACTAGGTTGTCATAGAACACAGCGTTGCTCACCTTTTACACTGGGACAGGGGGAGGAAGTGGGCCTATGCTGGTATGGTTGATAATCTCACACAGTCTACTCACCTCTCTTGGAGAAAAACTGTGTTACAAATTCACACTCTTGTCTTTTTCTCTCCGTTATCTCTATTTTTTGAGAACTTGACTTCATTATTTTTCTAGGCAGCATAGTAACAGCCACAGTCGTTCTTGTCTTCTACCGACTGCTGTTGAAAACGTCACGTCAAATGCGCCAAGCAGGAACAAACCGTTTCATGCTGATCCAGGGGGAAGTTGAGTGCAAATATAGATGTGTGCTTTTTGGTCTGGGAGTGGTAACATTTAATTTTTACTGCCAAAAACAATTAAAAAAAAAACACAACAGTAATTGACAGGGCTCTGATTTTTTTTTTAATTTCTGGGGTTTTTTTTTGTGGAGGGCCCCCTGTTGTCAAGGGCCCTTAGAATTGTCATAACTTTCCCCCCCTATACCGTGCCCACAAGTTATTTGAGTGTATTTCCTCAGTAAACAGATAGTGGTGAAGAGGATTGTAAGGATCTGTGTATTTAGTTTTGAGGTTTTTCTGTGTCTTGATCCATTTTCCCCTGCGAGTCTCTGTGCCGTCCTTGATTGTTCCCAGGTGTGTCTAGTCTCCCCAATTACTCTGTGTATTTAAGCTCACCTGTTGTCTCTGTTTTTTGTCAGATCCTTGTCGTATTTTGTTCATTGTTGACCTCTAGTCAGTCTACTCAGTTGAACTGTTAAGTCCTAAGAGTCTGTACAATTAGTCGTTGTCAGTTGAACTGTTTGCCTGGGTCAATAGCTCTAGTTCCAGCTGCTCTGTTGCTACCAGTATGAGCTTAGCCTCCATTTCTGCCGTGCTGCCAGTTCTTGGACTGTTGTGAGCTTCTCATCATTAAATATTCATCATCATTCATCTACACCCTGAGCTCCGTCTGGGTTCTCTCTCACCACCTCACCTCAACTTCATGACGAGGAGAGTGTGGTGCAAAACCCATAAATATAAACTAACACCAATAAAAGAAAAGCAGCATTTAGGTGAAGATTAAAGATATTATAATATATTATTATTACTATTATGAGTTTGTTTGGATTTGCTTGCAGATGCAGTTTATCTATTATCATGCCAAATAAATTAGCCATTTGTTTTTTATTAAAAAATAAGTTTGATTAAAATATGCAAAAGTAAGAATGTCTGGTTTCATAACAGAACAATACATAAAATTAAGTATAAGGCTTCTCATATAGGGGACATTGAAAACAAAAAGATGCATCATATAAAACGTTCCTAATTGAAAAGTTACGTTAATGTTTGGGGTTTTTAGGGTGGAGGAGATAAAAAAAAATTATGAGCCGTTTGGGAACCAAGACAAAAGCTCAACTCCAAAAGCTTGGCTTTTTTTGATTCCTGAAAAGAGTCGTAATGACACACTGTACAGCAGGGTTGCCCACAATTTTCAGATAGTCATTTACAAATGTTCAAGTCACAATGATCTACGGTTCAATAGTGGGAGAGCTCTTGTCTAAAAGCTCTGTTACAAAATAAAATTTGTGGGTAAGGGTTAGCATAAATCTCTAGCAACACTCCAAGTAGGAGACGCACATACAGATATTAAATTAGGCATCTCTCAGAGGTGACTTCTATATATTAACAGTTTAGGTGCTACAGTGACATTTCTGACAGTATCCTGTTGGCATTCAAACAAAGTGTAAAACAAAGAATGTAATTACATAAGTTAGTGCAGCCTGAAATTTCATTGAGATAAATTGACTGTGGTGAAGAACGGTAAAGCTCAAAAACATATTAATCTGGGAATGATAACTAATCCCGGTTTGATCACCGTCTGCTGATGGATATTTCTCCAGAGTATTTACTCTCCAGCATTTACAGGCTCCCTCAGAAAAGGACACACCATATCTGACACGTTCCTTTACCAGGTCTCAGCTAAATTATAGGACAAATTCAGGGTTTTTTCACAGAGTAAGTTGCAGAAGGGACTCAATTCAACATAATGGCTATCTGACTTTCTGAAACCAAAAACTCAGGATATGCACATAGTTACCCAATAACTTACTCAAGATTTTCACCCAAGAACAGACCAAGACCAAGAACAGACCCTTGTGGAACTTATCATTTTGAAACTGGAGGAATTTTCCTGGCAACTTGTTCTGTATTATGGAGATAAAATGTAAATGGCTATTGTGAGTTGCAGAGGGTTGATCCTGATACTGGTGAAAACCCATAATTAGGGAATTATGTCCAAATAAGTACCTCATTAATGGCCAGCTGCTCTCCTCCACCTCCTCCTGGGTGTCCAAATCGATGTCCAGAAGAACAAAACTCTTCGTACAAGAAATCCTCCTCACTGCCCAATTCGTCTCCATGCCCGACCTTTTCAGGTGGCCCATCAGGAACAACCAATGCTGATATAGGGAAGGAAAGGAGTGATGAGTGAAATAAAAAAAACAACAGGGAAAGTAAAAGTAGTGGTTTCTACATTTTAACAAGCCAACACATAGTAGATCAACTTACAGTCACGAGCAAAACAACAGTTTTTTTTTTTTAATCTAGAAATGTTCACCCACAAAGCTGTCATGATGTGGTGTGTTGTGGTGAGGATAGGGACGCAGGTATACCCAGGTTGAAGGTGAAGATGAAGAGTTTAATGGTGATAATCCAGGTAAACAGAGCAACAGGGAACAGCACGAAGAAACAGGCGACATACGACAACCAACAACAAGGATCCGACGAGAGAAAAGGACAACAGGTGGGTTTAAATACACACGGGGTAATCAAGGGGATGAGACACACCTGGGAAACAATCAACGGGGAGG